TATATAAACAAATCCAAATCAATATTTAAATTCTAAATTATGCGCAAGACCGCGCAAATAATCCATCGGCGGACGAACGTTACAATCATTAACAATATTTCATATACGTCAATGGTGACGCTTGGAAGCAGCTTTCGCTATTTTCGGTGGATTACCACGAACATAGTATTCCAATCGCACATCAACAATCATTAAACTTCCACATATTCATATGAGCAAGCTGCCGAACATTCAAACTTCAATGCCAGTTCTCGATTGGATTATTTGTACGACGGCCACCGTCAACGATCGTTTGATAATGATTACACAGCCCGAGACCAAAGGTCTGACCACGACGAGTGACACTACCAATCCATGTGGTCTCGAAATAATCGAGCAGCTCCTCAGCATTATCCTTGAAGAACGTAGTTTTGGTTAACTTATTATACACGGCAACAACATCATTCTCGGGAACAAATGCGAGAGCATACAACATTCTCAACTGCAATCCAAAGCCACCATATCCGGCATATCGAGCTTGTAATCGACATCCCTGTATTCTCCTCCATGAACTCTGCCAAAAATGAAAAAAAAAACTCCCACGCATTTGTACACCAACAAAAATAACCTAGTTGCTTCGATTTGCCAGACAACAATGTAAATACGAGAGGCATAACTTCTCCATTTACAATTCCATGTGTGCTATACAGCTGGTAGAAAATCCAAGAAACGACATGAAATGTTCCGTCGGCAAACTAAGTATCTTATGGTTGAAGATAACTCAAATTACGCTCAGTTGTAAAAATAATATATCTTCCACGGTGATTATTAGGCAGCTCACGTGAATCACATACCATAAATTCAACTCCGCTTCAAGCCTTACGATACGCATCGGGAATTATTAATTCATTAATTGATACACGACTAGCAGAGTTTATCTCATTATCAGCCCTTATACCAAGTACGCCGGCAGCAGATCATAAAAAATTTATCAATTTAGTAGAAAAATAATATTATATTTATTACATTATCTATAATGAAACAAATACTTACCGTTCCGGGACTTAGACGTAGTATAACACCGACCAAGACACATTTTCTTGGTATAATAAATACACCGCCAAATAATTTTATTATCACCATCGCGATAATAACTATATTAATTATAAAAAGGAGAGGAATTTTATTACTAAACAACGTGGCAACAGTTACAATCACAATACATCAGCAATGCCTCGAAATTCAAATTACTCATTAAATGCAAACTAACAGGTGAAAATGATAGAAGCGACCTTCACGAAAATAAAAGGAATATAGGGAAACAATAAAGCATAAAGTAGAGAACATATAAATAGAAAATATATAGACACAAATAAACCATAATAACGATAGTATATCAAACGATTTAGCTATAATAACGAAACTTTAGCGATCTTCTTATGTATCGATGTTATATGGCGCCAATTCAATTAAATATTTGAAGACTCATGGTACGATTTGAAAAGAAGGGTAAAATTTTCAGTCTCAGCGACCATTCCGACAAAGGCCAAACCAGCTTTAAGTGGCCAAGTGGATGTAAGCAGCGTACGTTGTTTTAATTGCTTTCAACATGGCCACCATCAAAGTGCATGTACGGCTCCCAGACTACCACCGAACATGAAGCATGTGCTCCGAAATCGGGCACACGCGCCAAAACTGTCCCCGTCGTGCTACACCAGGAAACAACCGGAATATTGCCGCTGTAGGAGATGATGCATATCCTAAAGTCTGTCAACTCGCAGAACAATTTTCTCCAAATAAATGAATGTTACCTTTCTTAATAAAGAAAAGTGCACTGATGTAATTCCTCTTTTCGCTTTATTTGATACTGGTAGTCCCATTAGTTTCATAAAACGGTCTTACGTGCCACAATCAGCAAAACTCAGCAGTAAACAGAAGTTGACACAATATCGTCGAATCGGTAATAAAAAATTAAGAATTCATGGCATTTTGACATGTAAATTTATATTTTTTCAGCACGAATTGATCCACACTTTTGCTATTTTGCCAGATTCAGGTGCGATTTTACCAGTGTTGGTTGGGCGTGACCTTTTAAACAAAATGCAAATAGCATTGAGCCAAACAAAGACAAATTTATTTAAGCCAAATGAATTATTTAATATAAAAGCTCAAAAAAAATGTTGGGTTTCGGAAAAACTTGGCAGTGCACTTCGCTTTCTTGATTTATATAGAAGCCCAGTTGCCAGTCTGCTACCACCGTACAACGAGAAGTAGGAAGTTCAAAGAACAATCGATGAGTTATTGGCTTAAAGAACCATAAGACAAAGTGAGTCTCCCTACGCTTTGCCTATAGTGTTAGTTCGAAAGAAAGATGGTTCTTTAAGAATGTGCGGAAACTATCATGCGCTTAAAAAATTGATCATACGTGATCATTATCCTTTATGTTTGTTGGGGGTATCTGGGTAGCAAAACTTATTTCAGTACTTTTTAACTGCTTTTGTCACACCAATAGATCAATACGAGTACATCTATATGCCATTCGGCATTACAAATGCCCCTTCCGTTTTTCAACATTTAATTAATAAAGTTTTAAAGTCACTTATTGATTCGGGGAACATTGTAGTGTATTTATACGACATTATTATGGCTACGAAAACTTTTGAAGAGCATGTTGAGATTTTGACTGACGTGTTGAGACTACTAAAAGCTGCTGGTTAGAACTAAAATTAAATTTGTTCAAGTGTATATTCGCATATAGGAAGGAGGATTACATAGGATATTGTGTATATTAGGAGTGGTATTAGACCGAATGAAGCATAGCTACTTCAGACGTTTTGTTCGCGATTTTTAATGAATAGCTGCCCCTTTAAATTGGTTAACGCGTATATGCAAAGTTCGAGTGGACGAATGAGGGTATCGATGCTTTTGTAACATTAAGATATTATATAAGTTAACGGATCCACCCGTTCTGTGTATATTTGATCCACATCATGAAACAGAGCTACATTCAGACGCGACTTCCCGTGGGTATAGTGCAGTATTACAACAAAGACAGGATAATAATAAAGCTCACCCAGTTGCATATTTTTCGAAAACAAGTACTGACGCGGTTTCAAGATATTAAAGCTTCGAGCTAGAAGCACTTGCAAGTGTCAATGCACTGGATCGATTTCGTACATTTTTAGATGAAATTCCATTTGTACTTGTTACTG